TATAATATTTAGAATATAAAATTATTAATATTTGTAAATTAATGATTACAATTATTTTAATATTTAAAATATAAAATAATATTAATATTTTAAATTTAATTATTAAAATTATGAAATTTAATTAATTATACATGGTATAACCTTCTTCATAATACTTATATCATTTGACAAATATTTAAATTTAAAATAATCTTCAATTTGAATATAATATAATGAATAATAATATACAAACCTTTGACTTCTCACGTTTCCTTTTGATAATAAGGCCATCGTTCTCTATGTAATCAGGAACGTCTTTCCTGTTGCTAAAATTGAAGACCATTGTGTTGTTCTGCTGATTCCATGGCTTGGCATCCCAAAGACCTCCCCCACCACCACCACCACTACCAACAGTCCCAGTCCCAGTCCCAGTTCCAGTACTAATACCACTACCAACAGTGGGAGTTGTTGATTTTTTTGTTGGTTGTATCTCATCAGCACTCTTCAAACTAACTACAACTTTTGTTGGTTGTTCTATACTCTTAACACGATTTATTAGATTTTTCTCTAACTCTCGATTGCTTAGATTCTGTTGAGGAAGCTGAGTTTTAGTTGACACAAGTGGTCTTATAATACCAATTTGTTTTTGAGGTGGGGATGATTCACTTTTCTGATACCTTATCGTTTTAGATTCATTACCCTGAGAATAGGACGTTGTTGTTGAACTGATTAAGCTAGCAGACTTTGGAGGTTTGTTGTCAGCCTTCTTTTCCTCAATTTCATCATTTCCATCATTCTTTTTCTTTTCATCTTTATCTACAGTGAATTTTTCACGAAAAAGTCTCGAACCTATTTCCTGATCCCGTACAGTTCCAGCAAAGGTTTCATTTGTTTTGATATCACAGGTATTAGCCTTTAATACGCTCGTTGATTTTTCTTCTATTTTTCTATTCCCATTTTGTTTAACACCTGGTAAATAATTTTTCTCCCTGTTGTTAGTTTCATCCTTGAACCTAAAATGCATGGTTGTACCAGCTTTGCTAATATTGTCTAAAGCTGAGGAAGATATTGTTTTTGGCCCATCTTCCACATCTTTGCCTTTTTCTATTTTTTTCTCCTCTACCTCCACCTCATCCTCATTTTCTTCTTCTTCTTCTTCTTCTTCTATTTCGACTTTTGGTGTTGGTTCTTCTTCTTCTTCTTCTTTTTCTTTTTCTTCTTGACCTTTTACTTCTTCTACTATTTCTGGTTCTAATCCCAATTCTTCAATAGAAAGATCTTTTGAAATTGACGAAGTTTTAGGAGTTGGCAACCTTTGTCTTGTTGATAAGATGATTTCTTTTTCAGTCTGTCGAGTACGTGTTTGAATAACTTTATTAGTTTCTAAATTATCTTTAATCGGACTGGACTTACGAATCGGACTGGAACTCTGAAGCAGAGGAATATTGGCATCTTTGATAGGTGATGATGGACTCTGAACAGCTGGAGAAGAGATCCTTGGTGACAATAAAGGTGTCAAAGGAGGAGATTTAATTCCTATCTCAAGAGCATTAACTTTTGACCTATTTTGAGGTTCTGGACTTGGTGCTGGAGAAAACCTAAGCTTGTTGAAAGTTGGTTCAGGTGAGGGTGACGGTGAATGTGACTTTTCAATCTTCTGAAACTTGCTAACTACAGAAGAAACTGATTGTACTATGGGATCGGTGATAACACCATCGAAATGAAACTCCTCATCTTTCTCTATTAGTTCAGCCGTTGGTTTTTGAGGTAAAATAATTTTCTTCGGTGACGATGAATTAGTTGTATTTGTCCTAGTATTACCATTAGCAAAAGGTTTAGGCTGTAACGGTGGTTTAGGTAGTACCTTTTTTTGATTTTGCGCTTTAAAAGTATCGTTGATCGTTTTAAACGTTGCTACCTTAGCAGCAACGTCTCCTTTAGGCTTCAACTTTTTCGCTGATCCTTCGAATATGCGCATTGTCGTCTTGACTAGATCGGGTGGAGGCCGTTCAGTTTCTGCCAAAACTGGCTTGATTCTTTTCGGTTTGTTTGTTGCCTTGGGTCGATCTATATCGCTCAGTCGACTTTCTATTTTAACGGAGCTCCTATCGACGAGAACAATGTGATCGTTAATGGGATCCTGCTGCCTTGACACGATCCTCGTGTTAATGCTTGTCTTCTTGAGATTGGTATCATCGATCGAGGTAGAATTAGCATTATACCTAACGAGAGTTTCTACACTTCTGGCTCGTTTCATCGTTTCATTGCCACGATTGGCATTTCGATATCTATCACCACCGGTCTTGCTCATTTGACCGGCAACGTTTCTCTTAGCGTACTTTCTATCGGAAACGACAATAGTCGCAGCTGAATTTTTCTCGTTAGTCGATTCTTCCTCACGATCGAGTAAATCTTCCAAACTAGCAGCACGTCGAAAACGTTGCACCGTTGCTCGACTTTTGTTTGTTTCCCTAAGTGCAAGGTTAAGATATTTGCTTTTAAGTTTATTCACGATGCCAGGACCGTATTGCAATTCCTCGGAGCTATCGCTTTCGGCGTCAGCCTCGTTCGTTTTTATTCCAACAGTGGTGGTGGCAGCTCTGACCGTGCTCGTAATATTACCACGAAATTCTTCAAATAAATTATTACCGACGTCTCGTGTCCTCTTCGTACCAAGGATATTATCATCGCTCTCATAATCGTCTTCGACATGCTCCATTTTTCGTTCCATATCCGTGGATTTAATCGAACCACCACTAGCACCACCACCACCACCACTACTAGCACCACCACTAGCACCACCACCGTTTACATCCTCCGAATCGGAGCAAAGTGAAAGATCCGCCTCGAGACGCATGTTGCGCGCCACTGAGTCATTTTCGCAGTTATTACTGCTATGGAAAAGGATAGCGCCACTAGCGAGCTCTCTGACAACTAGTGGACCTATCGTAGTGGGGATAGTGGGGATAGGGAGGGGCCCCATTCCACCGCTTCCAGTACCACCACTACTACTAACACCACTAGTATCGGTAAAAATAATAGTACCAGTTTCGTTCATACCACCACCACCACCACCACCACCACCGAACTTTTCTTCCTCACGTGTTGTTGTAGTAGTAGTTGTAGTAGTAGTAGTGGTAGTTGTTTGTGTGGTAGTAGTAGTAGTAGTTGTTACCGTCTTCATTCTCATCGTCATTGTTGTCATCGTTGTCGTTGAAGTTGTCGTCGTCGTCGTCGTTGTCGTTGTCAATGATGTATTATTATTATCCTGACGTTGTTCTTGACGACAAACTGCTATCGCCGCGACATCAACGCCTTCCGTTGATAAGAGTTTTACGTTTGTTCCGTTGCTACTTGATAAAACAACTTTATTTTGTTGTCTTCGTCGTAATATCAGATCTCTTTTCCATTGAGGAACGTTATTACTATCAGCGGCAGTCGACTCGCCGCCGGCCGACGACGCGTTGCCGGCGGTAGCCATCTTGGACGACACGCGTTCTCGAACGCGCTCGAAACAGACCTCTCCCACTTTGAAACTTGAGAAAAAATAAACTCACTTTGATGCACAGCAATGACAATTGGAACACACGAATTTAGAACGATAAAACTTTGGCCTTTTCTTTCAAAGAATTATTTTCAATTTGGTATTTTGAACACTTGCCGTTGTTACTGCAGCAAGGAGAAGCAGCAACGAACCAATGGCGCGACTGGATTCGTCTCTCAACGCCGTGACAACGCCTGCAAATCGGAACCTCGCGATCACTGGGATAATCGATCGCTTTCGTGGAAAGGCTCCACTTTCGCCGGAAGAAAGGAGAGGGAAGAGACAAGTAAGCACCACTCTCTTTTCTTACTTTTTTTTTTTCTTTTCATGAGATCAAAATTGAAATGAACGACTGATCATTTCTTTCTTTTCTTTTCTTTTTTTTTTTTTTGTTTATCTTTTTTCTACCTTACCCTTTATTTTTGTTACTTTTTCACGATAGCTCTTTAATTATTGCCATACTCGTAAATTCGGCTACGTCGAAGAAGTTAGGTCGTTCGTCGTCGTCGAATTACGACGACGAACGTACATACAACGATCAAACCCGACGACGATCGGTGAAAATTGTTCAAGTTGGCACGCGCGTACACGCGACGTACACGCGAACGAACGTCTTACCCGATACATCGAGAAAGCCGTTTTATCTGTCGCGTTGCTACGGAGACAACGACGACGATGATGGCTGCTAGGAGAAGCCAGCGCAACACACACCGAAAGATCCACCATTCACTGTTTGCGCACACGCGTTTTTACTTTGATATAATACACACACACACAAATAGATGCAGCATACAATAAAAAGTAAACGAGCCTGTTTCTTTCTCTCTCTCTCTCTCTCTCTCTGCATCCGTTGAGACGAACGATCGCCTCTCACTCGTAACACGCGAGGAGAACCCTTTTACTTCTTCTCTTCTTTCTCTTGTTCCACCACCCTTTAACGTTCTCTCCTCTCTCTCTCTCTCTCTCTCTCTCTCTCTTTGTCTCTCTTACTACGCCCTCACTTCCTCCCCATTAGACCACCGACCACTGAGAACCTTAGGATCGATTCATACCGCTTGCAATGATATTTATCGTCAAATTTACCCCTCACACACGCACACTTAACCTTGTGTTTATGTGTGTTTTTTTAACGGGCACCACTAGTGTGAAATTTTGAAAAAAATTTCAATTTTCTTTTTGCAAATTTCGATGGTCTATACTTTTCTAAATAACATACTAAAATGTCAAGTGCATATCTCAAATAGTTTTTGAATTACAGCCATTTCATATTTTTTAATTTATAAAGATCAAATTAGCAACTTAAAAATTTTAAACGCGTTTTTTTTCAAAACTAAATTTTCCAAAATTTGCTGCAGTTAGAATTCGAAGACAAATCATTTTATCGATTTGATTCTTGTTACAGCTTCTTTTATATATATTTTTGCTGCATACCATAAATCTCTAGTTTTTCTATTCTATTTTTTAAAAATGTAATTTAGGTATGCCAAAAATTATCAAATTTTCGCGCCAAATTTTAAACGTTTTTTTTTTAAATTCCGTTATTTTGTTTAATTCCAATTTTTCGTTTTGACCGAGGTTCATGGTACGGGAAATTCCTTCTAGTTTGAATAAGAAATGTATTTTGATAGACAAAAAATCATCAAATTTTCGCGCCAAATTTCAACCTTTTCTTTTTTTAAATTCCGCTATTTTGTTTAATTCCAATTTTTCGTTTCGACCGAGGTTCATGGTGCGGGAAATTCCTTCTAGTTTGAATAAAAAATGTAATTTTGGTAAGCCAAAAATCATTAAATTTTCGCGCCAAATTTTAAACGTTTTTTTTTTAAATTTCGTCATTTTATTAAATTTCAATTTTACGTTTCGACCGAGTGGGGGCGACTGGAAGCAGCAGTGAAAGGGACTTGGAAAATTGCGAATAACTCGTTTAATTTTCAATGTTTTGATCCAAAAATTTAGTCATACATTTATTACATATCCAAGAATATCTTCTCAAAAAATGAAACCATTCAACGCAATAATTTTCCCTAAAAAAAATTCTGAAAAACTACCTTTTTTTTCAAACAGTCACACTAGTGGTGCCCCTTACAAGTACCCCCTCTCTCCATCTTGTAATTATGAAATTATGTGCCTTTCGTGAACGATACAAACAAACTTTTGACACTAAATATAAACATATTTTTTTGCCAATTAAATGTTCATATATTGTCTAGTTTTTTTTTGTTTGTAAATATTTGCGATATGTCTATTTTGCAGTTATGTAATTCATACAACGTCGCGTGTACTGTTATCTTTGTACATAGCTTAAAAAGTGCATTTATAGTTTTAACAATGACACTAATAATTGTTATCGTGCACTTTATCTGTTAATGACTGACTCAAATATTGTTTTGTTTGACAATGAGATACGGTTTGTGTATGTAAAATAATAGACGTGTTAAAGTAACATAATGAGGAAGGAATATCATCATCATTTATTAGAATAAAACAAAATCTAATTGTACGATTGTCATTGCATTTAATTGTAACAAGAATGTGTAATGAGATTACATTTCTTTCACAATAAACACGTAATGTATATTTACGATAACCTAAAACTAAGAATGACCAATTGGACGCACAATTTTTTCGTTTCAAAACTAGACATTCGTTTAAATTGTTATTCATTAGTATGAATGAAGTACTTGGTGGTATTTACGAGTAATAGAATTTATTACATCAATTATTTCTTGCTGATTTTTCTTTAAATATCAAATACGAATATTTTGCATTAATTCGTAACACTCGTTTAACACTAGATATACCAGTCCAGTCATTTTGACTGGTCGGGGCCATTTTAATTCCAAATTTCTACTTCATGTAACATTTGATTTCTGTAAATAATTAAGCGTTTTGTCATTTAAAAATGTCTATAAATCTATTTATCTATTAAAATTATTATTGTTAAACATTTTTTTGTTATTTTTTAATAGTAAATAAAGACTGGAAGTTTCAAAAAGCATTTTTTTAAATACATTTTGACTAGTGTGGTAGAAATAGGTATACCGAAAATGGTGGTATATCCAGTGTTAACATTAAAAAAAAGAAAAAACGTGAAATAAAATGGAATGAAATGAAATAATAAAAACAATGTAAAGATCAACGTTTTTTTTCTTCGATGATGAATAATAAAAATATTGAATTTTATGTTCGTACGTTAAGTGTGTTAAATAAAATAGCAATAAATGGGAAAACAATATGGTCACCGGCAGTTGGGGTATCGTTTATCGACGCGTATGGAACCAATTCCACGATTGAAACCGGTTTGGAACTAGTTTTCTTCTGGTTTTCGGTTCTCCCCGCCAGTGAAGCCAGATCGTAGAACATTTCTACCCCTTCTCTCGAGCCCAGCACGTCTCGCACACAACGAAATGTTACGTGACGGTGTGTCGCGAAACCGAAAGAAACCGAGGGAAGCCGAGGTTAGCTGCGCGACACAGGAGGAATAATACCCCCACCACCCCTACCACCCCTACTAATCCGTGTACGATCTCTGTACGAACAAGTCTTTCTCAGTGCTGTCAGATCGTGGGTAAATCTTACCCTCTCCCTGTGCCACTGGGATTGCACACAATGAAAGTTTTCCATGTCCGTGTGTTTGGGATGTCGAAAGAAGTCGAGTGTAACCGAAGTTGGCGGGCACGCCGGAGTGGCACACTATGAAAGCGACTCGTGTCCATGTGTTCGGACGACACGAGTCGCTTTCATAGTATGCCACTCCGGCGTGCCCGCCAACTTCGGTTACACTCGACTTCTTTCGACATCCCAAACACACGGACATGGAAAACTTTCATTGTGTGCAATCCCAGTGGCACAGGGAGAGGGTAAGATTTACCCACGATCTGACAGCACTGGACTCTTTCTCCCTGCGGACCGCCGTGGGATTGTCGGATTTCAAATTTTCCCGGGGCGTACGATAATTTTACGCCCCTGTGTCGATCAGACGAACTAAAGTCTCTGGAAACACTGGCTCCCCTCTCGTAAGATTCTTGTTCATACAGCTTGAACGAAAACGAGTCGTATTTATGTATGGAATCTCTCTCGAACCAAAGTGCAAATTTTGTCAAAGGTTGTTTTAGTAATAAATCGTATATTTGTTATTAAAAATGGCAAACGACGACAATGAACAGGATGGTGAGTTAAAACATTGTTCAATTGTTCCAACAAATTAAAAACAAAAAAAAATCATGTTATGTTATGATTGTATTATTTATTTCATTATTAAGGTCTTGACATTGATGAAAATCAAATGGAAATCAAAATAGAGCAGCCAACAGTGGAATATTACGTCGAAGAAGAACATGATAATAGTTTATCAAGTATCGAAGGAAATGGAAATGGAAATGGAAATGGAAATGGAAATGGAAATGTTACGGTACCCTCTACCAATGTTGATGTTGGTACTTGGAATCTTTGGACTAGACAGGCTACTACCTGCCTCATTGATCAATATAAAAAATATCGATCAATGTTAGGACAATCGACGCAGATTAAAAGTTTACGAGAGATGTTTGAAATGATATCTGTTGAAATGCAAAATTATGGCTTTTATTTTAGTCCGCAGAAGTGTGAGAACAAATGGCGCGTATTAGAACGTAAATACAAAAATTTAATTTATCATGAACAATTGAAAAAGCCTGGAAGAACGAGAAATTATGGTTATTGGGAACATAAGAGAGCACTTGATGAGATATTTAATGATAAAGACAGACATGTTTATTTGGATGAAAATGTTTTGCCATCGGTTAAATATTCAACGGTTGTTTCAAATACAACATCGAAACAAACTACAAGCTCTTCAAATTGTAATAACGATGAACAATGTGATCCATTAGCTACATTGGAATCATCTAACACTGTATCAGAAGAACAAAATGAACATTTAGAATGCAAGGATACATTGACAAAACTATTTCAAAGATTTATCGACGCAATGGACAAGAATTTTGCATTGGCTGAACGTAATAAAGAGAGACGACATAAAGAAGAAATGACTATGCGACAGAACGAATTGGAAATAAAAAGACAATTGTTGAAATTGAAAGAACAAAAGATAGAATTACAAAAGTGTCAAATGGTCGCTGCTGTACAACATTTTCATCATAAAAAGCAATAAATTTTTTATATCGAATATTTTTTTCCTTAATTTTTCATTAATTTTTGTTAACAATTGTCAATTACGTTAAATCATTTTATATATTTTTTTTTTCTACAAATATATACATGTGTGTATGTGTGTGTGTGTGTGTGTGTGTTGCTACATACGCTAATTTTTATAGTCATTTAAAAAAATGAGCAAAAAATTTTAAACGTATGGCAATTATATTTGAAATAAACCAATTTACAGTAAAAAGAAAATTATTGTAAACTTAATGAAGTATGAATATAAATGCATTAGTATAAGTTAATGATAAATACAGAAGATTTTCTAAAAGAATACATAAATAATTTTGATTATCATAAAAAGAAAAATGAAACAGTTTAGAAAGTAAATTGGTGCAAACTCGTGCCGTTAGATGGCATTCAAACGGTTTAGAATTAACAGTCGATAATGTATAAGGGTAAAGAGAAACCTGTAAAATCAATTTATTTTTTTTTATTTTTTTTTTTTTTTTTAAATAATACATGCTATATAATATATAATAAAAATCAAAACTTTTTAATTACAATTGTATTTAATGTTACATTTTTTATTTAAGTATTGATCATTTAAATAATATTTCTAATTTATTATTATTTACTAATTTGAATATTTTTGTAATTAGAATAATATTTACATATATATATATAAAGACTCATTATATTAAAATATAGTTAATAATTAAAGATTTTTTCAATAAATAGGAAAATCCAAACGAAATTGTGTTATATATTTAAATATATTATATAATAAAAGTAATGATATACAATTGCTTACAATTTTCATATTTTACAACATTGCATTCATTATAGCATGTAATATATGTTAAGATGATATATTATATATTATATAATGTTATATTAAATAATATGTGTTATATATTTAAATAATATTATATAGTAAAAGTAATGATATACAACTACTTAAAATTCTCATATTTTACAACATTGCATTCATTATAGCATGTAATATATGTTAAGATGATATATTATATATTATATAATATGTGTTATATATTTAAATAATATTGTATAGTAAAAGTAATGATATACAATTACTTACAATGTTTATATTTTACAACATTGCATTCATTA